TAGCCAATAAAATTGCAGAATCAGGTGTAATGTATAAATTAATTTTGTATGACAAAAACAAAGAATTTTTTAAAAAATTGTGAATATCTCAAAAATTCGCTTATGAAACCCCTTTTGGGTTCTAACAAAAAAAATTCCTTGCTAAATTTTGCATATAACCTATGCCTAAACTAAAAGAGCGGAATTTTTTTTAATTTAATACTGATCTACATATTAATATTACACAAACCGGTGATTTCCCCTCTGGTTAATCATAGCGATAGTTATTTTCATAAAAGGATATTAATTATATTATTTTTTTTAAGTTAATTTTTTAAAACGTTGATCTAAATAATTATTAAAAACTTAAATTATTAAAAATATATATATAGTTATACTCGTCTAAATACATGTACTGGGGACCAGATATAAATTTGTATTTAGAAAGAATATGCATTTATAAATTAATATATCACACTTCTCTAAATTTAAATATTAGAAATTCAATATAAGTTTATATTTAGAAAATATAAATTTATATTTTTACATATTTCAAAATCTTTGATAATAAATAACTTTGAGCCACTAGTCTGTTTTGGATGAAACAACTATCAAAATATTCTTAATGAGATAATTTCAACGAGCCCAAAATTGCTAAAATCCAATCACAGGATTCTGAGATAATTAAGATTTTGTATCACTTTATAAATATCTTAGAATTGGATAAATCAATTCTAAATATATATGAAGTAACACAAACCTTTAACGGTCTCAATTTTAGGCTTGTTGAAATCATCTTATTGAGACGAATATTTTGGTAGTTGTTTCATCCAAACGATCTGGTGGTTTAAAAGTTATTCACTGTCGAATATTTTAGAATTTTTAATACAATAGTAATTTTAAATATGCACAAAAATGATTTTTTTTATTGGTTAAATTATATATATGCATTTATAGAACTATATATATATATTTGAGACTTTAAAATTTTATGCACATGCAGGATATAGAAAATACTTAAGTTTTTAGCTTGGGACTAGGTTATAATATGCATTTAGAGAGGATTTGTACTTAGGGGGTGTGTATTTAGGGAGATGCGACTGTACTATATTTTTTAATAATAAACTAAACAAGCTATTTGTTTTTACTAAAATTTTTAAAAAATTATAAAATGTTTAATTTTTATATATAAAAATTAAAATTTTACTAAATAAATCATTTTTGAACTTCTGAGTAAAGTTATTTAGAAATAAAATTAAAATAATTTACTTATATTAGAATTTATATTGTAACTTATAATTGTTAAATCACTATATAATGTTTTAGTAAAATACTATTGATAAGTAATAAATATATTAAAATATATATTAATATTACTTATAATAAAAAAACTTTCGTGATGATCTGGGGGCGTGGAATGACATGTGTACCTCACGTCCTAGGTGAGATTAGGTCGGATTGGGGAAACTCGTTTAAATAGGGGATCTACAGGCGGATCTTGGTATGGCATATGAAGAGTAACTATAGCAGTATAGCGAAGCCTTTAAATAGGCAATAGCTAAAGTTGTATGTGTGTCCATATGTATTCTCATCAGAATGTACTGTCCGGGGTCCTGTGATCCCTCGTGCATCTAATAAAAGTGATAAGCCAAAGAAAAAAAATAAAAAAATAAAAAAAACTATTATATATTTTTAAAACATCTACAACTATCAAATTGTTAATAGTTACAAGGTTGGCAGCATCTAGCTAATAAATAAAAAAATTCTCAAAGTTGAAGATTTCCCAGAAAGCAAAATGTTGCTTAGGTGGGTAGTCTTTATTAGTCTAGAACAATAGTAAATCAAAAAATATATGTAACATATAAGTTTTTGATATTGTCTAATAAATATAATAAAGACAAAATCATCAAAAAAACAAAAATTAACAGTTTAAAAAATAATAATATATATAATATATTGGTATAATTTTTACTAATCAATTTCTAAATTAAATTTAAAAAAACATGAATTTTGCTAACTTATACGCGTGGCGACATTCCTGCCTCAAAAATGGCCTAGTTTGATGTATTAAGTAAGAATGTTTAGCACTTTAAAAACCTTACCCAAACCCTAATTCTAACCTTAAGATCTAATTTTATTGTAAAATTTTAGAGTAAAATTTTTTATAATCCTTATATAAGTTTGTATAGAGGCTATATCGCCCCTAGGCGTAAATTAGTCTTATTCCAAAAAAAATTGAATATTCATATACAGATAAATGGGTAAAAAATGCCTGAGTGTGAAAGCTGAAAGATTTAGCTAGAAAAATAACTTGTATACAAATAATATATGAATGACGGCAAGAGAAAACCTGTAAATCATGCTTTTTGACTATTTACTTTTAATGAAAATATCGTAAAATCAAGTAATTGAACATCTAAGATTTTAATATCGTTCGAATTGTCTTAATAAGATGATACAAATGTTATTAAATCTTAGGTGATCAATTACTTGGTTTAAAGATATTTTTATTAAAAGTAAATATTCAAAAAGCATGATTTACAGGTTTTTTCTTGCCGTCAATATACAACATACAGTAAATCAGAGTATAATCAACAAAGATAATACGTAGTCTTTATGAAAATTTTCTTAATATGGAAACTTACTAATAACTCTTATTGCAAAAGTTTTTATTACAAACCTCATCTTTTTCTAAAGTTCTTTTGAAAATGGCCCTCTAATATTTTTCGTAAAATAGCTAATTTAGTAGTAATGTTCTTTTTACTTGATCTAAAATATTTCATAATACATATGTTTAAAGCGTGGTACATATTAAGATGATGGTAGTTAAATAGTGAAACAATAAAATAAGACTAAAAAAATTAACAGAAATATATAGTGTAAAAATTACGAGTTAGTATTAAATCATTGTTTATAAATTACAAGCCGAGTAAACTTCTTATATAGAATAAACAAACTTGAAAATGGTTAGAATAAGAAAATTTGTATCTACAATGATTTTAAATGTCTTTATCGTTTAAAATAGCTTCCGTTTTTTGTTAGCAAACCTATCTAATGCTGTTGGAGGTTTATTATCTGTTTCTTTTTGGTGTCTTTTGTAGGCCTTTCTCTCTTGTTCAAGACGTAGAATTTTCATCTGTGAATAAATAATAATTAGTTATTAAGTCAATCGTAAATAACTTAAGTGTCAGCAAATAAACAAACCCTTCGTTCGTCAATCACATTCTTTTGTTTCTTACGAAGATATCTTTTCAATGATGAATTTTTACCACGCGCTTTATTACGAAGTTCCCGCTTTCCGTCATAGGCACGCTCCTCTTCCTGCATATTATGTATTCATAGACATGCGATATGAGTATGTCTTCATTAGTTGAAAACAATATCAACATAAACAAATCATACCTCTTGTTCTTTCTGCTCTTTTTCTTGTATCTCTTTCGAGGTTCTATCAATGTTACCAATGAACGTAGGATCTAATGTAATCATTTCAGGTTGGATCTATAAATGAACCCGAGGGTTTTAAAAATGTGTCATTAAAATAAAAAAAAAAAAAGAAAATCCAATCAAGAAATTCATTACTTTATCTAATAAACTATGCACTTCTGCTTCCTGCCTCTGCTTTTTAGTCTGAAACGGGTTTGCCTCCAAACTGTCAATATTAGGTTCTCCGGAGCCTACAATATCGTTCCAACATAATAAGACATGTATAATCCTAAATTATTATATTTCATAAGTAAATTACATTACCAGGAATTAATATACTTGAAATGCCATCAGAATGACCAAATCCGAGCACATCTTCATATGGACAAAATTTTATATCATGGATTTGTGTCCCTGGCTGCAAATGGTTCATATAAGGTGATTTTTGCTTTATTCGAAAAGCATTTTTCCAAATCTTATTTTTCAATTCAAAGTCATGAAAAATGAGCGTAAGAGTGGATTGACAACTAAACGGAACCTAGACCAAAACAAGCTTACGGTTATATGTGGACCCCATCCAACTCCTAGAAGTCCCGATTGAGATATAGAAAGAGACGAGGCAGGAGTTCGAGTAAAATATTCTTGTAAAGGTTTATACGTTCGGATATCCCATAATTTAAGCTGACCATCAAGCCCAGATGTTGCCATATAACTATTTATAATAAACCAAAATTTAACACGTTTGATGATATTAAGAAATAAGCAAAATACTTACTTTCCGGTGTGGTCTACTGAGATAGCTTTTACAGGACCCTTATGTGTGAGCATTTTGACTAATGGAGTCGACATGTTGGGTGACCACAATGTTACGGTACCTACAATAAAGCACATTAAAATTGTTCAAAATACACGATTGTCATTACAATCAGTTATAATTTTATAAATAATTCGAAATTGAAGCTAGATTATTATTAGTTGTTTGTTATTACCATTCGTATGCCCTAAATTAATGATAGCATTCCAAGGATTTTGTGCCATCGTATCACATCCACCCATTTTTGTCCTCAATTCGGCCACCAATTTGCCAGTTGAAGTATCCTGATATTTTAACCAACCCGCATTTCCCTGAAACGAAATGTAAAATAAATTGCTTAGTCAAATTTAAAACCAACACATTCATCAGGAAAATTTAAACCTGATTATAAATGATTACAAACTAGGGTGGTTGGCAAGCTGGCGAGGCGAGCTTTTTTTAGCTCGCCAAATAGTGGCGAGAGTCTCCAATGATTTATTTCTATATATATCGATTATAATCGATGAAAATCCAATCGATTTTAATCGACGGTGGTGATGAGAATCGTTTAAAATTCTTAGATTTTAATCGATTATAATCTAATTTTAAAATGATCACTTAGAAATCGCCTAAAAATCGTGCGATTTCTTTTTTTCTTGATCTGCAGAATTTACAAAATTTTGCCAACCGCAATAAACCAAAATCGATTATAATCAATATATAAAAATCGATTATTGCGGTTTGCAAAATTATGTGAAATTTGATCATTAAAAAAAATGCAATTCCTAATTTCCGATTACTGATTTTCGATTTCTTTAACATTTTTTTTGACTTTTAGACTAGACAAAATTTGCGCATTTATCATTTGAAAAAATTTGATTGAATATTTTAATGCGCAACTCCTATTTCTGCAAATATATTACAAAATGATGAATATGCAACTTTTATTTCTATAAAAAATAATAAAATTTTTACAAAATAATAGATGCGCAAATTTGTCTCAAAAAAAATGTTGAAGAAATCGGAAATCAGTGATTACTTTTTTTTAATATTCTTCAAATTTCACATAATTTTGCAAACCGCAATAAACCAATTTAAATTATTAATCGATAAACAATCGATTAGTGTTAATTCATATCGATTATAATCGATAAAATTTTCCATCACATTTATTGCGGTCTGCAAAATTTTGTAAATTTTGCAGATCAAAAAAAAAAAAAAGAAATCGCACTATTTTTAAACGATTTTTAGGTGATTTCTGATTTCTTAGAACAACTCGATACCTAGATATGAAATTGTCAAATCAGAGTTGTTTAAGAAATCGGAAATCACTGCCTAAAAATCGTGCGATTCCTTTTTTTCTTCTTGATCTGCAAAATTTACAAAAATTTTGCAAACCGCAATAATCGATATGAGTGATTATAATCGATTGAAATCATTAAATTTTAATCGATTACAATCAGTTTTCAAAATTTCCTGATGCTATCTGAAACGAGACTTTATTAGAAAAATATTTACCACAGAAACCAACAAGAAATGATAAGATAAAAATTCAAGCTTATTCACTTCTATATGTTTTTTTAGACGATGTATTTCGAGACCATTGTTATCATATATAAAGACATATTTTTTTTGTGCTGTAGCAAAGAAAAGTTCATTATGAAGCCACCTGGAAATTATTAGGAAAAAAAAGTGTGTAAAAAATGAAATTATGAGAATGTGTGTATTAAACTACGGAACTGAATACAAACTTTACATCTCGAACAGTCTCTTTTACATGAATTTCACAGCCTGGTTTGTTTTCTTGCCAATCCCGAGTTACTAAATGGCCTTTACGGCCTCCAATGACTATATGCCTTTTATTTGCAAATAACCAAATCAATATTATATATAACAAATAACAGACAATAAATGAGCTATATGCACTATAGAAACATTTACCGTCCGTTACGAGTGTAATCCAGAGAATATGGACCAAATGTAGTTAATTGAAGATCAAATATCTATTTACATTTAAATTAGATAATACATCAATATCAAAGACTGTTGAAGTGTCAATAATCAGAAAACAAACCTTTTTAGCAGAACTCTCATCCAACTGTTCCTTTAATTTCTTTTGTGTGATGTTAAATGTTTTTTCGATTCCTTCAGCTTCCAAATAACTATTTCAATCATTATGACGAAATCCAAAATATCAAACCAACTGTTTTAAGGTTATGATAGCACTCACATACCCAGGCTCTTCGATTAGCAATAGTTCATGACTTGCAGCTTTATGAGCTGCTTCTTGAGTATACTTTTCAACTCGTTCAAGGGTACCTTTTAATTTTCTGTTTTTGAGTTTCTATAAAAAGATTCAGATAAAGTCAGTTTCGGTAATACCTTATGCAACAAGCCTATTTTATTTTAATTTTTAGTTTTTTTTTTTTTTCAACCTTTAATTGCTTAGGCCCTAATTTGCCTTCGGTTGGCCTCACATATTTAGAAATTCTTGCTGCAAATAAACCACTGTCTTTCTCGGTCATCTTAGAAATTTAATGATAATCTTGTCAAACCGGAAAATTATATATAACAAAAAAAATTGCACGTGACAAAATAAGAAATGGTCTAGGGCACAGCAACACGTGACTTATCGTCTTATTGGCACAGCAACGATTAGATATGAGATATACCGATTAGAAGCCAGCCAATATCCAAATAATTTATTAAGTAAAAGTAATTTATGCCTCTAATGAAAGTTGTAGAGGTCATTGCCCCGATTCTAATGATTCCAAAATCACCAAAACTTCTTCAGTGGATCACTAGATATAAGCATTTAAATCTTTACGATTATGTAATCTGCCTTTAAATCTTCAATATGATCGCGAAGATAAAAATTCTCATATCTCGCGATCTACTGAACCAATTTTAGCGATTTTGACATCATTTGAATCGGAATAATTTTTCCTACAATTATAATTATAAGCATAAGAAATATTTACTTAGTAAAATATCTTGAAATTTTGTATTTTTTTAAAT